TTCTATCATCAATCATGAAGATTGACAAATACAAAAACTTCTCAGTAATGTCTCTTGTCAACACAAAACAGAATTTCTGTGTTTTAAATTAAGGCTGCCAATATTCCTGACATGTTTGATAAATCACTTAAATGTGTTTTTGTGGACAAGAGCAGAATACAAGAATGTGGGATTTGATCATGCGTGACTGCATTATTCAAATGTCTACAGTCATGTCAAGTTTCAGCAACATGATAAAATGCATTCACTGGGAGACAAGTGTTATTGTGAAAGTTTATGTCATCAAATGTAATATATATTACACTTATGAGAACATTCACAAACACTGCACCTGCTGCTGGGAAAGCCCCATCCTCTTTCCACTGGACTGTCTCCTATTGGTTGAGCCATTCCAGTGACTTCCTGATCTGGGTGCACCATGCTGAAGCTAGATACCTTTCTTAAAAATGACAAGGAGCATTCAGAAATAGCTTCAACCAACACTCATAAACTACTCATTTTGGATTTGTTTTGATCAATTCAAACTCTAAAGCAGAAGTTTCTCCACAGGTTTAAGTTTATTACACCACCTTCCATCTCCAAGCCACATGTAGGCCTAGTCAGATAACAGGCTGTCTTCACACAGTAGTCACATCCAGCCTAAAACAAACAATTAAGACATTTAAAAGCACTGGGCACCAAGTGAGTCCAGAGAATACCACAGCACTAAAGGGACTTATAAATCCCTGACTGAGTCTACAAATATCTATCTGTCCCTTTGCACATGTCAAAACCTGACCACTTTAGATTCACATTGTTTATAATATTACTTTGCTTGTTGTAGATGCTGCATGTTAGGACAGAGACAGTCCAGAGGAGGCCTCACCAAAAGATAGGCACTTTCCATCTGTGTGCTTACATGCTTTATGGAGAGGTTTTTGAGATTAAAGCTGGTCTGGAGATGTAGTTTAATGCTTTGAATGACTGTTTTTGACTTATTCAGCAGTGCAATGTATTTACTGATGTGTTTGCTTTGTGCAGCTTTGTGTTGGTAAAATGTGCTACATAAATAAAAATAAATTGGACTGGAAGTAGTTCAGTTGTTGAATGTGTGGCTTGGCATGGCTTGAATTGTAACTGGGTTCATTCTTTGGCATGAACTGGATGTTGTCGTGCACATTTTGCCAGAACTAAAGATCTGCTGATACTTGATATTGACTGTTAACCAGTGTAAGGATGGAAAAATGGCACTTATTCCCTTAAAACACAGTTAACTTATTACACAAAAGATCCAATTGTGTTATGTAACTCTTATTTGTTCTTCACACAATTACTAAACCGCTTCTTATGAATGAAGTTGAAGCATTATGAATCGTTCTATTGTCCAGTCAGGATATTTGCTTAACCAGTATCATAGTCCCAATACTCAATCCTGCAACTTTTCAGGATTGTCGCTAATATTCATATCTATTCATCCCTAGTCAGAACCAAAGCTGCTGCTAAAGTTGTACGCTGCTTGTAGCTTGCATAAAAACAATTGAAATTTCTTTTATGAGCATTATAGATTTTGTTGTTTGATGAGAACCGCTCTGGTTATTAACTGTGAAATTACAGTATTGAATGGCTTGATAAATAATACATTTGTAATAAATAGGCCGCTGATTTATCATGGTGTGATGAAGTAAAGATGGTCTGGAGAAGTCTTGTGGGCACCTCATATTTAATAGCTTCAATATTAATTTTCAGTATGTTTAAAGCATAAACAATATTTTATTATAAGATGTCAAAAAATGGGATTGACTGATAGTTTAAAGCACTCAGGTTTGTGTAGCAAAACCAGCATACATAAGATAAAGGTCATAGCTTTGATGCTGAGATTAAACAGTGTCACAGCCCAAGACACAGCAGGTACATTTGTGAGAGGGGAGCATTTATTAAAGATTCATGGAACTTTCATTGTGTTCAAACATGTCTTTTTCTCCCTGCCACAACAAAGAGCAAACATACAGTTCCTCTACTCAAGGTACAAATTAGCTCTAATCACTGCTAACTAATTCCACACATGAATGCATTTGAAAAGGAGCGTGGGCCTCTTCAGCAGCAATCACATAAAAAACACAAGTGTGCTGATTTTGCCCTGTTAGTTCTACTGCTAATATAAACATTTCAAACTCAGTTTTGATACTAAGGAACACACAGTACTTGTTAAGGATTATGATACTACAATGATGGTAAAACATGCACATTTTTTTTTAGTAACATGTTAATCTAATATACAAAATACTTTCTTTATCTTAATGTAAGGTCTTATATTTATTCTGATGAAGCTCAAAATTATACTAAAACTTTTCTCTAACAGGATCTTTTTTTTCTTTTGCAGTATTAATACTTTCGTTCAAAAGATTATCTAGTTTTGATTTACTATTGATTAGTATCTGATTTTCAATACTTTTGACAACCTACTCCTATTCCATGCCAATGTTACTATCGTGATAATGAAAACACACTTTTTTGAGACAGTATAATTTAATTTTCAACACAGGATGAGAGCAGTATATAAAATAATATCATGTGCTTCAGTAGCGCTGATAATAAAAAGTCTCTTATAAACAATTTGAGACCATTCTAAAACAGAAAGGTCATATTTTGTCCCATTTTAGGATTTTGTATTGATATCTTCGATACCAGTACAAATTAGTATCTAAGAAATCAATACTTTTGATTATCCTACTTTGTAAGATTTTACACTCTACAGGACATTATCACCGAATGAAACTGAAAAGAGAAAGGATCACAAAACTACTGTGAGTGTAATGTTAAAAATGCATTGTGTAACTTTTCTGGTAGAGGGCCTCTTTGTCTCCATGGGGATGTTATTGCTCTGTCTGAAATGTTCCACAGAGTGACATTAAACTTCTCTAACTCCAAGTTCCATCAGTGGAGAGGTAGGTCTGTTCACAAAAGGGTTTTCAAGGTATTTTTTAAAGAATAAAAACACTTGTAATGGAATAAATGCTTAGTGGATGTTTAATGCTATAGTGTGGAACATCCAAGGCAGAATAATAATTTCCAGACCCTACATCAGAAAAGTAACACAGTGCAACTTTAAACAGTTGTGCAATCAATTGTACTCCTATAAGCACTAAATAAGTAACACTAACTCAATGATTTGTTATAAACATTTTGATATAGTTCTGCAATTTGAGGTTAATTGTCAAGTACTGATGAAAATAATTAACTAATTAGAATGAAGATGTATGATTCTTCACAGCAAGTATTAATCTATTCTCAATTAAAACAGCTTCAAATAAGGAACATAACAACCTCTTTAATTACCGCTTCATTTGGATTTAAAAAGCAATTCATTAGTTGCTTCTTCTTTATGGAAAGGTCTTGGTCCTTTATAATTATGGTAACTGCTGTTAGGTGTAAACAGCGGAAGAACAGAGGGGCTTTAAAGGTTTGACGGACAGCTGCTGTTGGCATGGAAACAGACGGTACACAATCGGAGCTGAGCAGGCGCTTTCTGCTGCTACTGACCTCCGCAAACAGGCCAGACAGACAGCGCCTCAGGACATGGCAGTTTAATTGAAAACAACAACAAAAAATAAACTCTATAGTGGCACCACCCCGGGAGCTGCTTCAAAGCTCTTCTCTGCAGAAATACTTCCTATGCGTCATGATGGACATTCAGGTTTAAAATCTGTTTAATAAGGTGAGACTCTACTTGGCCAGTTTACTCTCTTATCTACATATAAGCTTTCACCTGGAAACCACAGCATATTCCAATCTGCACTTTAAGATGTTTTATTATTTCTTTGAATTCACTTGATTTAATTGAGACATTGTAACTTCAAAGGCTGTTTTCTCAAAATGCATTCTTCTACTATAGGGACATAAGAATCACCCCTTAAAGTGCATATGTCAGGTTCCACTACTCATTTCACTAATACATGTGACATAAATTACAACCTCGCAACCATAATGTTAAAGGGACAGTCTGGAATTTTGGACATGGGACTTCATTTCCTAGTGAGCCAGAGTGTTGGAGACGTGTGGAGACACTTTTTTAAATATTCCATCCAGTCCTTGTATTTGCAGAAGTTGCTGGTGCTAGGCTAGTGCATGTCAATGGCCATAGTTATCCTGCCACTAAAAACAGTCTTACCCACTCCACAAAGCACCTGAAGCAAATCTATTATTACGCCAGACTGTCGAGGTAAATGTCTGTGTTGTTAGAATAATGTTTGAAATAAAACTAACCTTGCATTGCAAAGGAATATTTTCTCAGCAGCAGCATTTTACTTTGCCGGTAAGATAGGTGCTAGGTGATATCAATCCGCCACTGCCGAGCTTTCTATCAGGAAGTACAATTCGCTGCTGCTGCTCAGACATAAATCCTTCAAATGCAAGGTTAGTTTTACTTCTAAAATTATTCTATTGACACAGACATTCACATCGACAGTCTGTCATAATAATAGATTTGCTTCAGGTGTTTTGTGAAGTGGGTAAGACTGTTTTTAGTGGCAGGCTAACTATTGACATGCACTAGCCTAGCACCAGCGACCTCTGCATATACAAGGACTGGATGAAATATTTCAAAAAGTGTCTCCACACGTCTCCCACACTCTGGCTAACTTGTAAATAAGGTCCTGTGTCCAAAATTCCAGACTGTCCCTTTAACAAAGGCCAAAACCTTTCTAAATTACATAAAAATCACTAGTTGTGCATAAATAGTTCCTCCATTTTGGATGTAATTGTCCATTTTGATGCTATTGATAAAGGTGTTCTTTTTATTACTAACGGCTACTTCCTATATTTTTGTACTTTCTTCCAGACAAAGTTGTTCTTCCATGTCATTTGTCTATTCCATTTTTTTCTACAAAGAACAGATTCCCAGGTCTAGTGCAATAGGAAAGACTGGACTTAGTTTGTCAGCACAGAATTGCAAGCCTATATCTTTAAAGCCTAACATACATCTTTTTCCTATTTTTTTTTCTTTTTTTTTGGTAAATATATACCTGTGGGCAGAGTGGACCTCTTCCTCTTCTTGCTGTTCTCTGCTGCGTTCTCTAAAGGAGGACACTCGTTCACCAGGGAACTGTTGAACTGCAGAGGATCTGAGCTGGTTGTGGGGTCAAAGGGCAGAGAGTTGAGTCCTGTACAGAAAACAGAAAGAACATTATTGATGATGTGAGTGCAGAAGGTAGTTTTTGATTTTATATTGAAAGGGCACAGGGGATACCAAGCCAGCATACAATAGGGCTGGGTCACAAATTTGGATCGATTTGTACTCTCCCTATAAGATTTATCAGATGATGTTTTTGCAGTCCATCAGATATGTGTAAAAATGTCTTGGTTGCTGTTAAAGTATTGCACGAAAAGCGTTTGGAAGATTCAACTATAAATTTCAGTGCTTTTTGTTTTCATCAACTCTTAAAAGGTGCACTTTGTAACTTATCAGGTGGAATGTCCTGCAAATGCTTGTCTCCAACTTGTAAAAGAGTTTTTTTTTTTTTTTTTCACTCATAATTACCTTGAAAAACATGCTTTGTTACTGGGAGAGGGCTGGCCTCTCCACAGATCTGGTCTATAACTTCGCCTGGTGGTGTGTCGTAGTTTTTATTTTGTCATAAACAAAACAAAACATAGACATATAAACCCATGGATCATGACCAACAAACAAAATTTAATGCATTCATTCCAGAGCGCTATATCTTTCAAAACATAAATCTTTATACTTTTTTTAAGGCTTCTACAGTGTTAAAACTTTTTAAAAATCATCCCTCAGATTGTTCCATACTCTAACAAATCTAACAAAAATACAATCACTTTTATTTTTTCTTCTATTCATTTTTTAAAGATGTCAGTTTTGTTTTTGTTTATAATCGCACAACAACATGTAATAACAACAATAATGACAAAGAAGGCATTCTGTTCCAGGCTAAGCCTTAAAATCTCTGTGGAGACAGTAGGCGGCAGGTCCTCCACTAGAAAAGTTACATAGGACACCCCAAGAAGCAATACTAGATTACATTTTTCTTATAGACAATATTAGGGATGTAACAATAACCGAAATATTGTGATATCGTATTGTCAAAGGTCTCACAATAATGTCATGGGCTGTCACAATATATCGAATTACAAGTTCCTTTGCTTAAATGCATTTTTCATAGACAGCTTATGAACATCGGAAACTACATATCCCATGATTCATTTCAGTGCAGACAACATGAAGAAATATGTTTTTTACTTGAATTCTTGGGATTATGACTGAAATAATTCACACCAATCATCTTGTAGGTATTTTAAAAACAAAAAAGTGTCCCATCTACAATTATATTAGCCTCTTCAGAATATCGCAATAAATATGAGTACCATGAGATGCATACCGTGATAATCTCATACCATGAGATTTGGATATCATTACATCCCTGACAATATATTTTCAATATTCTTTTTTTGCATATCATTTTAAAAAGTTCAAATCAATATGACTTTTATTAGCTCCTGTAGAACTATTGATTTGGCTGAGGATTCGAGGATTAATAAACCAGACCTGGAAAAGGGCAGTAAAAACAAGGACTTAATCAGCTTTGCCAATAATGAAAAATATAGGATAGGTCAAAAAGCATATTACTATATTGATATTAGTCCAAGCTGTTGTCTAAAGGCTAGCTTTATTAAAAAAAAAAAAAAAAAAAAGATTTAATAGGGATTTCCACAGTGACAAAGAAATAATGAACCATCCACAAATTTAATCAGGCAAAAGGAAAATTAGAATTTGAGTGAACAATACCCATAGGCTTGTCACGATGAATTTTGAAGTGTGATATATCGCTACAGAGACATACTGTGATAAATGATAATATTTAATCTACTTTATCACTGATACAAAAACATTAATGCAAGATAATCCCAGTAAGCCATTTTAAATAGACAGTATCATTTAAAAGCATGAGCTGCCACAAATAAAGCTGAATGAATCACTTATTATCCATGGAAGTAATTTATTCAGCTTTCAGAAGTTTTAGTTGTTCAACCCTCTACAGCAAAAATTTCATCGTATTACAACAAAAATAACCCAAATCTCCTCACTTTTACAAAGAAAAAGTACACATGATAAATATTGAGCCCCAAATATTTATTGTTCCAGCTTTCATATACTGAATGTTAAGTCAATATACACAAATATTAAATTGAATTAAACATGCTGTATGCTCTGTTTGTCTGACAAATATAATATCCAGTGTTCTGTATGTATGTGTAGGTGTTTCTTAGATTCTTCTTAGAGTCTTGTATCTTGTAATGTGTATATATATATATACTGATACAAAACTTGCCCATTGGCACACTCTTTCTCAACACCATTTAGTAGTAAAGCACCAGGCGTTAAGTGCAGTCTCAGAAAGTGAATTGGCTCAATTACTGTAATTATAGATGACGGAATATTTCAAGTGTTCATTTACCTCAACTGTAAAATATTTAATGATTATTTTAATGAAATAAGGGCTGTCCATTATTGACCTGAAGTGTCTGCCGCTGTGAGAACAAAGAAATCTATGCATCTCTGTGTGTGATACTAGTCCTCAGAGCAGATACAGACAGTGCTGTGTGAAGAATGCACTGACTGTCAGACTGTTTAAGGAGTCGAGCTGAGCAGGTCCTATAGTCTCTTTTTTTAATCACAGTGCTGAGGAACACTATGTACCTTGAGGTCTTGGCAGGTGTGCCTTGGCCTGTCACAAATCACAATAACAAATTTTGAAGCATGATATATATCGCTACAGAAGAATATTGCCATAAACAATAATATTGAAACCACATTGAATCCTGGTAAAGCATTTTTAAATAGACAGTATCATTTAAAAGCCTGAGCTGCCACAAATAAAGCTGAATGAATCAATAATTATCCATAGAAGTAATTAATTCAGCTCTCTACAGTTTAAATCTTACCATTTTACAACAAAAATAACAAATATCTCCCCACTTTTGCAAAGAAAATATACCCACAATAAATAATGAGCTCCAGAACATATTCCAGCTTTCATTTATTGAACGCTATGTCGATATAGTAATTATTGTGACAGGTCTAGATGTGCCTTGAAAAAAAATAAAAAATAAAAATATCAGTTAATGGGTTCAAACAAACATATAATTTAATGATTTACCATTTCAAAGTGACCTGATTGAACGTCTAAAGCAAAATATTCATCAAGAACCTGAGAAGAATCAGACCTGGTGCCACTGCCAGTATTCGCATTACATTTTTGTCATGTTTTAGTATGTGGCACAGAAGCTAATCATCTTAAAAGTGTGTTGCTACTTAAAAAGGACTGAAAAACAGTGCTTAAAAACTGTTGCTAGGCTATTGAGTCCTTCAATGCTGATCTAAAAACGCTGGAGTGTATGTGCAATTTGTAAGTACTTCAGATTGGAAATGATTGATGAAACTTTGTAGGAGAATTGTTCTGTCTTGGATTTTGTTTGATTGTTTGCATGGGATTTTAGTGTTGCGGATGTGTAATGATTGGACTGTTGTCTTGTTTTAGTCTGTCTTGTGCCCACTGCTTGTTTAACAGAAATTTTCTTATTAGGAGATGATGAATGCTGATCTAATCCAGTCTATTGCAAACTCATTGTATTAGGTCAATCAAAATTTGCACAATAGGTAAAATTCTTCAGTTAAGGAACCAAGATCTGGAGGTTGACGGGTTGCTCCAGTGGCACTGAAGGATTGGTCAAACGTAAAAGACAAAGTTCCCTACAGGGACAATAAAGTTAATCTTAGGCTATGTTCAAACTGCAGGGCTTAATGCTCACTTTAGATTTTTCTGTGCAATCCAATTTTTTTGCGAGGATGTTCATATTTCTAAATAAATGCAACTTGTATGTGATCTCCAGTGTGAACTTTAAATGCCCCAAACGTGTGCATTCGAGGATAAGGACGTCACATGCAGCGAGCATGCTCAGTGTTTACAGAAGTCGCCTAAACATGGACACATCGAGCACTTGGCGATTTTAAAGTTGCTGTTGTATCGGAGCCAGAACATGTGCAGCTTATTTGTTTAAAGTAGGAGAGTGAGAAGGAGAAAGGCAAAGTTTTTGGCCATGGCGTTTTGTGGGGCAGTGGCAGCAACGTCCGTAGAAAGGAACATGTGGGTGCGGAGTCGCAGGCAAGAGTGTTGGGATTGCTCTATGCTTCGCTGCTTCACTCAGACGGAGTTCATACACAATTTTCGTATAACGAGAAGATTGTTTGTGTACATCTGTGAGCGCCATGGTTGTGGCTTTCTTCCAGTTTCCACCTACTTTAGATAGATTTGATGACGTGTAGGTCGGATGAATGTGACCTGGCCATTCAGTCTGAAGTTACATGTCAAAGGATCGGATATGTATCGGTTTTAGGAACACATATCCAAGTGGCCTAGGTTGCATTTGAAAAAAACAGATTTGTGTTGGTCAGACTGTCATTAAAAGATCAGATACAGGTCGCATAGGGGTAAAAAAAAACTTCACTTCAGGCTGCAGTCTGAATGTAGCCCAAGTCTGTCTTGTGCCCGTTGCTTGTTCAACAGAAACTTCCTTATTAGGAGATGATGAATGCTGATGTAATCCAGTCTATTCCAAACGTCTTTTATTTAGTCAACCAAAATTTGCCCAACAGGTAAAATCCTTCAGCTAAGATACCAAGATCTGGAGGCTGATGGGTTGCTCCAGTGGCACTGAAGGACGGGTCAAACACAGAAGACAAATTTCCCTATAGGGACAATAAAGTTAACCTTAGTTTTACTTTCTGGCAACCCAAAGGCATATACTTACATACAGTATACCCAATATACTTTTAGTCAGCCTGTATTTGTCAGTGCTCAAACCATGAATTCACTTTTAAACAACACTATAAATACATCCATTTTAATCCAGTTATAACAAGATTTCCAAGGCTTCAGTTCTGAGCCCAGTGTGAGACAGCTGACACTTCTTCCATCCAATCATATGAGCTTCAGTCACCTGCTGTGTGCTGATAAAACAAAGTCATGAGACCTTCAGGACTAAGTCTGTTTCCACACTAAATGAGATATTGTTCTGTTCTGAGAGGGACCCAGGCCAGGTCTCTTTAGGAGGTCTATGAAGGTGAAAAACGCCAGTGACTGACTGG